TCTGCCCTCCGTTATTCCATGTCTTGGGTTCTTGAATAATTGAAATAATTTTTCAACCTTCAGCGTGTCGTTCTTTCAGGAATTTAGAAGGCTATCCAATTCCCTAATGAGCGTTGCCCTTTTCTGCACCCATCCCAGTTTCTCTGAATCTTTCTTAAAACGTAACACCCAGAATTGGGCCAAATACATGAGGTAGCACCTGACGTACGTGATATACAATGGACCAATTGCTACCCAAGATTTGGAAACCGTCCTTCTCTTCCCCCGGCTCAAAACTGCCATTGTCTTTTTAGCAGTCCTGTCACATTGTTGACTCATCTATTCAGCCTGCCATCAACTACAGTTCCAAGACTGTTGGAATTCTTAATTTTAATTAAAATCCGAAGTGGGAAATAGATTCCTCATTGAAGAGGTAGCAGGAGAGAGGGCAGGATGAGGACTGTAGCTGTTGTGCTCGTAGTAGTTGGAGATTGTCTGTGCGCAGATTGCTGAAACAGTTGGGATTGTTTAATAATCTTCCACTTGGGGAGCCAAATAAATTGGCAGATAAGAATTGTACCGTATCCCAAGGACATGCTATAATGGGCAAATGCGGGAGCATCGCTGACCTGGAGTTTCATTTAAGTCAAGGATTACAGAAAGTGGGACAAGTGTCACGGTATTTGTAATTTTGTTTCTGGTGTATAAAAATATGCCTCATTACTTATTTGAAAAACGTACATCTGCCCGCTCTGTTAATGATGGTAAAAGTCCTCTGTATCCAACCTTTCCAGATTTTGTTTTCTGAATCATTTGGTTTTGCTTCTAAGGACGCAGGGATTGCAAAGAGTTATGTCCATGTTCATAGAATAATATTCAATGTCCTATTTACCGATTTTAAAAAACCAGCCAATTTCATGCACGTCTTGAAAGACGCCTTCATGCCAACATTTGCTTTCCTTTTCCATCTGCACATTTCATCAATGCTTATTTTGGAAATGCTCATTTCCCCCGGCGTAAGCTCTTTTTCAAAAATGTAACTGCCACTGTCTGTACTCAACTTTTAGTAGCGTACCTTTACATGCTCTTTTTGGCAGAGTTTGGATTAAGGAAATACCAATACCAGTGGCTGCTGATTAGTGCCATTACAAACTCCAGGGGAAGCTGAATGCCCCAGTTCACTTCCTGCAGAATGGGCAATAGAATTTTTTTTCTGGGCTTCTTGCTTTTAAAGAAGGACTCGTTCCTTAAGAATCCACCAGTGTTGTACAGTGGTACCTCGGGATACGAACTTAATCCGTT